AACTCATTCTGAATCGCCTCAATCGGATATCAGAATACAAAGTTATAATAAAAACATTGAAAAAATGTGCAACTACCTGTTTAAAACAAGAAATTTCGTTACATAATCCGTTATATTGAGACCTATTTTTGGCATAGAAAGTGAACCAATTGGAGAATGATGTCTGAATTAAAGTTGTATCCAGATGGGTTAGCTTTTCAAGTCATTTTGAATCGCCACAATCGGACATTAAAATACAAAGTTATGATAAAAATACTGAAAGAAGGTGCAGCTGCCTGTGTAAAACAAAACATTCCGTTACATAATCCGTTATATTGAGACATATTTTTGGCATAGAAAGTGATCGAATTGGAGAATGATGTCTAAATCAAAGTTATATCCATATGGGTTAGCTTTCCAACGCATTTCAAATCGCCTCAATTGAACATCGAAATACAAAGTTATGATAAAAACACTGAAAGAAGGTGCAGCTGCCTGTTTAAAACAAGAAATTTCGTTACATAATCTGTTAAAACAATAAATTCCGTTAGTTTTTCCGTTAAAAACAAGAAATTCTGTTACATAGCCACTTTTAATATATAGAAGATATGTGGTTAAAAAATACGAAAAAATTGTCGATTTACGTGTGAAATTTTTTATGGAAGAANAGGCACTTTTTATATATAAAAAGATTTAAGACCACAAAGACTTGGTATAATGTACATTAATGTTTCAAACCGGGGACCTCTTGTGTGTGAAAATATAATGTACATTAATGTTTTAAATAATTTTTTTCAATCAAACCCAATAAATATTTTGAAGAACTCTTTAATGATTTATTCTGGAAATTATTTGGAAATAAGATTTTGTCATTCGGTAGTACAATATTGATGAACACACTTAGTTCAGCGTCAAATTCAACTTTAGAAACCGTCGGGCTAGACATTTTAACAGTCGTACTCGACATTTAGAAACTCTCGGGATAGACATTTCAACTGTCGAATCGACACTTGAAAATGTCAGGATTGACATTTCAACTGGTGGTCTGACCTTTTGCTATGTACGGATTTAATATTCGAAAGTCCCACTTTCATACTATTAAATGTCGATATATTGATTGTGCAGAATTCTTATCATTGAAATTTCAGTTTTTCAGGTATGAGTAATCATTTGAGATTCATCGTGTCGCATGAGGGAAAGTTTGTTTATGTGGATGACGAATGGAAGTGGAAAGGAGCCAAAACCACTTCCATTGTAGTTTCGACAAGTGTCACCCTCGGCGGTCTTGTGTTACAATTGAAGGACAAACTTGGTATTCTTGATCCTCACACTCAAATTAAACTAAAGTTCAAAGTCCCGAACATAAATGTACATCCGATTGAAATATGCGAAGATGAAGACTTAAATTTGTACATATCAGTTCATAAGGAAACTGCTATATGCGTTACTATTTTGAAAGTCGAGCATCCAATTGTTAACATGGGGAATGATACAAATTTTCAAAACCTTCATTTGTCAAGACGGATGTTCACCGAAACGTACAAAATGATGAGGTCGAGCAACTGCATAGTGTCTCTAACGATAATACACCCGACGCATAAATTTTTTATATTGGGCCTGCATCAGAAGACGAGAACTTGGAT